GGGGGCTGAGCGTGTACACGGGGGCTGAGCATACACGGGGGCTGAGCGTACACGGGGGCTGAACGTACACGGGGGCTGAGCGTGTACACGGGGGCTGAGCGCGTACACGGGGGCTGAGCGTGTACACGGGGGCTGAGCGTACACGGGAGCTGAGCGTACACGGGGGCTGAGCGTGTACACGGGGGCTGAGCATACACGGGGGCTGAGCGTGTACACAGGGGGCTGAGCGTACACGGGGGCTGAGCGTGTACACGGGGGCTGAGCGTACACGGGAGCTGAGCGTACACGGGGGCTGAGCGTGTACACGGGGGCTGAGCATACACGGGGGCTGAGCGTGTACACAGGGGGCTGAGCGTACACGGGGGCTGAGCGTGTACACGGGGGCTGAGCGTACACGGGGGCTGAGCGTGTACACGGGGGCTGAGCGTACACGGGGGCTGAGCGTGTACACGGGGGCTGAGCGTACACGGGAGCTGAGCGTACACAGGGGGTCAGTGTACACGGGGGCTGAGTACACGGGGGTTCAGTGTACACGGGGGCTGAGCGTACATGGGGGTTCAGTGTACATGGGGGTTCATTGTACACGGGGGGCTGAGTGTACACGGGGGGGCTGAGCATACACGGGGGGCTGAGCGTGCTGAGGGTGAGAGCAATGTGGCCGGTGTGCAGGCAGGAGGAGAGCTCAGCCCTTGGACCTTCAAGGGGAGATGCCTGGACTTGGGCCCCGAGTTCGAGGCAGTGGTGCCCCATTGGGGGCCGGGGGTCATTTGCCACCCCCTTCTGCGCCAGGTTGTTTTGTGACCACTGGTCTGGTTTTGTTCTGCGGTTGCTTTGGCTCGGTCCCCCCAAGCCAGTGGGACAGAGGGGTGCCCGTGACCTCGCAGAGGGAGTCACCTCTGCCCCCAAAGGCACAGGAGTGACCTCACAGGACAGCGCACCGAGGGCCTGGGCCACGAACGCGGCGTGACCGAGTTCAGCCGGCCCAGTTCCTGGTCCTGACTGCACGAGTGCTCACACCTGTAATCCTGGCTACTCGGGAGCTGAGACCTGAGCCAGCGCGGGCACCCCTTAACCACCAGAAAACCAGAAATGGCGCTGTGGCTCAAGTGGTAGGGTGTTTGCCTTGAGTAAAAAAGCTCAGGGACAGTGGCTAGGCCCTGAGTTCAAACTCCATGACTGACAAAAGGAAAAAAAAACCTCACAGACTTTCCTGCTCGGGCGGCTGGATTTCAGCTCTCCGCCTCCTGAGTAGCTAGGATGACAGGTGTTGAGCCACTGGTGCCCAGCTAACTTTTGTTTCTTTCGCTCTGCTTTTTGAGGCAGAGTCTTACTATATATTGCAGTTGGCCTAGAAGTGGAGATGCTCCCGCCTCAGCCTCCCGAGTGCTGGGATTACAGGTGCACCGCACACACTCAGAGCCAGGATCGTCCGCAAGTAGAATCCTTCTCTTATTTTCCGGTCCGATGGTCAGCAGTCTAAGCACTCTGAGCTATTAATAAATAAGGTTATCATAAACAAATTCCAAGGTCAGGTTAATTTGGAGAGTTGCAATGCTCCTTTGCCCGTCACAGGCTCTGAGGAGTCCCGAAAGGTAAAAGTGCTCATTTCCAACAAGTGTGTGTGTGTGTGTGTGTGTGTGTGTGTGTGTGCGCGCGCGCCAGTCCTGGGGCTTGAACTCAGGGCCTGGGCGCTGTCCCTGAGCTTCTTTTGCTCAAGGCTAGCACACTACCACTGAGCCACAGCCCCACTTCTGGCTTTTTCTGCGTATGTGGTACTGAGGCATCGGCAAGCACACTACCACTGAGCCACCTTCCCAGGGCCTGGGCACTGACCCTGAGCGTTACCCCCTCTAAGCTGGTGCTGAGTTTCCTGCCCGGGCTGGCTTTGGACAGCCTTCCTCAGGTCTCAGCCCTTTGATTAGCTAGGATTCCAGGCATGAGCCATTATTCTTTTAATATACTGTCTGCTAACAACAGCCTTTGGAGATGTTCCAGAAGTATTCTTTGGGAAACATGGCCCTGGAACATATTTTCCTAAGTGAAATAAAAGAATATAAATAGTTTGTCCTTTTTCCTCTGTAAGAACAGAAAATGCTCGCAGAATTCAGCCTAGAAACGAAACTGCATTGGGGTCTCTGCGAGCAATGCTGGGGCTGGCTGGCCTCTGCCCGCGTGGGGTCTCACCTTGCTGCCTTTGTATCATTTTAAGCTGTAGTTAATTTCGGTCTTTTCCTTGGTCAGCTTGTTATCTGAATTTTTAGATTGTATTTTCTTCTCGGATCACTATGAACTTGACCTTTGGAGGGTGACCTTTTATATTTGCTAATGAAACTCCCGATGTGAGGAGAGTTCACGTTTTCAAACCGTTCAATAGTGAGTCTCAAACTCAGTATCTCAGCTTTGCTTAAGCTACTTGGCTGGTGCTCTACCACTTGAGCCTCTCTTCAGTTTCGCATTTTTGCTAGTTAATTGGAGCTGGAAATCTTTCGGACTTTTCTGTCCAGGCTTTGGATAGCAACTCTCCAGGTCTCAACCTTCTGAGTGCTGGGATGGCTGGCGTGAGCTGTAGCCCCCGGCAAGCGTTAACTCTTAAACTTTCTGCACTTTTCCCTGTGCCGTCTCCCGCCTTGTGCTTCCTTGTACATATGGTGACATAAGAATTAAAAATAGTTTTGGACTTATTCATCCGACTCGCACGTGGTTTCCAGCAGCGAGTGGCTCACACACGCGTTTGGTCAGCATCTGTTTCTGTACATGAATGGGAAAGCGACAATCCCATTTTCCTATAGCTGCTTCAGAGAAATCCGAAAATCTTGCACAAGGAATGCGTGCCTACCATGGAAAAGAGAATTGAAACATCAGAACGGCCAGATCCGCCGCACCTGTGGTCCCCGCATGCCGGCAGGCAGCGTTGGTGGTCTCAGCGTGCGGGCCGCCCTGGGGGGCTCGGCCTGTTGGTGGTGCTGGGATCTCCGCCGGGGATCTTTCCAGACTTGGCTTGGTGAACACCAGACAGCTGACCTGCTCGTGAGACCCACCGGGCGGCGTGGGGACGACAGTCAGTACCCTCCAGTCGCACACTTGAGTTGCTGAGGTATTTAGATGGTTGTGCTTTGATTCTGCGGAACCGGGGTTTGAACCCAGGGCCTCACTCTTGCTAGACAGGTGCTCTGCTGCTTGATCCATACCTCCAGCCCTGTTTTTGTGGGTTTTAGACTGGGCTGGGCCCTTCCCGTTTATGCCTCCTTCTTGTAGCTGGAGGGACAGTCATGCGCCAGCACACTCACCCTTTCCTTGTCTGTGACGAGGTCTTCTGTGTGTGCTCAGACAGGGCTGAAACTGACCCCTGTTCCCTGTCCCCTGGAGCTAGGATTAGGGTGAGCCACTTGCCCCTGCTTCTCTCAGTTCTTTTCTGACCCTTGGCTTCATGTTTCCATTTGCTTTATTGCTATCTTAGAGGTGATCCGCAGCGGGGTCACGGTTACTGGCGTCAGGTGCTGAGTGCACGTCCTTTCTCCCGTGTCATCTGGCCCGCGCTCCCTCCCATCTCCACCCGTGAGTCGCACAGTTCACTTTCGTCGGTGTCCGGTGTGCTCCGCTGCCGCACTTTTTCACCCTTTTCCCTTGTGTCTATGCCCTCCTCGCGCTCCTGTAGATATGCACCTGACAATACTGTATATAGCGTAGAGAATACAGAATCCTCAGCAAAAGAAAAACACATTGAAAGTCCCTTGTTTTCATATCGTTGGAGTTCGTCTCAGTTTGCATGCTATGTGATGTGCATGTGAAGCGGTGCTTGGGTATTGCACCTTGGTGATTCTCTTCTAAGACCACCCTGTTTTGGTCTCACTGTAGGTGAGCATCTGGAATCCTGTGTAATTTGTCATATCCTAGGGCATTTCAGATCCAACTTCTGCCTATCTGAGAGAACATGTGCTGTTTGTGTCCCTGACCTCGGCCTACCTCGCTGAACATGATGTGTTCTAGGTCCATCCATTTCCCTGCGAGTGACATTATGTTATTCTTTCTGCTGGCTGTGTAAAATTCCGTTGTGTATAGATAGCACATTTGTGGCATCCACTCGTCTATTGTGGGGCATCTGGGCTGTTTCCACATCCTGCTGTGAACAGTGTGGCAACAAACATGGACATGCAGGTGTCTTTATCCTATCCTGGCTCATGATGCTCAGGGTAGATGCCCAGGAGTGGTATGGCTGGGTCACAGGGAAGGTCTCTGGTGGTTTTTTGAGGAGCCTCCAGACTGTTGTCCAGAGTGGTTGCATGAATTTACATTCCCACCAGCAGTGCAGTAGGTTTCCTTTCCCCACACATCCTCACCAGCATTTGTTGTTTGAATTCAAAATGTTGGCCAATCTAACTGGGGTGAGATGGCATCTCAGGGTTGTTTTGACTTGCATTTCCTTTATGGCCAGGGATGACGAGCATTTCCGCATGTGTTTCTTTGCTGTTCTTACCTTTTCTTTTTAGAAGTCTCTCCTTAGCTCCCTTGCCCATTTAGTAATTGGTCTATTAAGTTTGGGAGGGGTTCGTTTCTTGAGCTCCTTGTACATATTGGATATGATAGATTGCTGATAAAGAGCTTTTCCCACTAGGTTGGCTGTCTTTCTAGTTTGGTTGCTATGTCCTTAGCTGTGCAGAAACTTTTTATTTTAATGTACACCCTCTTGTCGAGCCTCTCTCCAATTTGTAGTGTCCCTGGGCTCTGTTAGGAAGTTCCTGCCTGTGTCTATAAGTTCGAGTGTCTCTCCTATTCTCTTGCAGTAGTTTCAGAGTTTCAAGTCTGACGTTGAGGTCTTTGATCCGCTTTGAGTTGATGTTGGTGCCTGGTGACAAGCAGGGATCTACTTTTAGTTTTCTGCAGATGGCCGTCCAGTTTTCCCAGAGGCTATGACTTTTGCCACTGTGTGTCTTTGGCTCCTTTGTCGAATATCAGATGACCGTACATGTGTGGTTTTATTTCTGGGTCTTCTAATCTATTCCATTGGTCTTTGGGTCTATTTTTGTGCCAATACCAAGCTGTTTTTTTTTTTTTTTGGGTCCGGTCGTGGGGCCTGAACTCGGCCTGGGCACTGTCCCTCAGCTCTTCAGCTCAAGGCTAGCGCTCTACCACTTGAGCCACAGCGCCACGTCCAGCTTTTTTTCATTTTTGCTTATGTGGTGCTGAGGAATCGAACCCAGGGCCTCATGCATGCAAGACAAGCACTCTACCACTGAGCCACCTTCCCAGCCCCCAAGCTGTTTTTTTTTTTTTTTTTTCCCTGTGGCTTTCTAGTAGAGCTTGAAATCTGGTATTGTGATACCACCTGTGTCGTTTCTTTTGCCTAGAATTGCTTTGGCTATTCTAGGTCTTTTGTTGTTCCATATGAATTTTTGGATTGTTTTCTCTTTCTCTGTAAAGAATGCCATTGGGATTTTGATGGGAATTGCATTGAATTGGTCAATCATTTGTGGCAGTATGGCCATTTTCACAATATTGGTTCTACCTATCTGGAACATGGTAGGTCTTTCCATTTCCTGATTTCCTCTTTGATTTCTTTCTTCAGATTTTTATAAAGATCACTATAAAGGTCTTTTATATCTTTGGTTAGGTTAATTCCTAGGTATTTTTTTGAGGCTATTTCTTTTCTGCTTATGCACTGTTGGTGTGCAGAAAGGCTACTGATTTTGTGGGTTGATTTTGTATCCTGCTGCTTTGTTGAAGTGGTTGATCAGCAGTAGGAGCGTGGGGGGTGGCACTTTTTAGGTCCTATAGATAGAAAATAGGGATATTTTCATTTCTTCTTTCCCTCTATGAATACCTTTAATGTCCTTTTCTTGCCTTATTGCTCTGGCTAGGAATTCCAGGACTGTATTGAAGAGGAGTGGAGAGAGTGGGCATCCTTGCCTGGTTCCTGATTTGAGGGGAAACGGTTTTAGTTTTTCCTCATTTAGTATGATGTTGGCTGTTGGTCTGTCATCTAGATAGAGCCTTTATTGTTTTAAGGAATGTTCCTCTAGTTTTTTCCAAAGATTTTAACATGAATGAGTGTTGTATTTTGTCAAAGGCTTTTTTTTTTTTTGGTCAGTTGTGGGGCTTGAACTCTGGGCCTGGGCGCTGTCCCTCAGCTCTTTAGCTCAAGGTGAGTGCTCTACCACTTGAGCCACAGCGCCACATCTGGTTTTCTGGTGGTTTATTGGAGATAAGAGTTTCATGGACTTTCCTGCCCGGGCTGGCTTTGAACTGTGATCCTCAGATCTCAGCCTCCTGAGTAGCTAGGATGACAGGCGTGAGCACCCCGCTTGTCAAAGGCTTTTGCTGGTTGGTTGAGATGGTCCTGTGGTTCTTGCCCTTGGCTCTGTTGGCATTGTTACTGTGGTTTTTGAGATAGGGTCTCTTTTCTCCAGCAAAGGTAGCTCTATTACAGGCGTGAGCCACTGTGCCCTCTGGGTTTTTCTCTTTTTTAGCAATATCGGCTTGTGGGTGTTAATCTTTAGAAACTGCTTCCCCGTCTTAGAGTTGTCCTGTGTTCCCAGGACAAGGCCCATCTGGTGGCTGTGGATACACCACAGGTACCTTTTCTTTTTCTTTTTAGAAGTCCTGAGATTCTGCTTCTATTGGACGTTTTCAGTAAGCTTCTGGTTTTCAGTGAGTGTTGATGTGGAGAGAGACCCCCCACCCCAGCCTGCGTGCCTCACACCCTACAGCACGTTGTCAAATGGAGACCCAGAAGTACTCACTTGCTCTACTCCAGACCCGGCTGACTTCCCACTTGTGTTAAGACTTCTGAGATTGTGCATGTGACTGAGGCTAGCCAACGACTTTTCTCTTTCTTCCTTTCTTCCTTTCTTCCTTCCTTTCTTTCTTTCTTTCTTTCTTTCTTTCTTTCTTTCTTTCTTTCTTTCTTTCTTTCTTTCTTTTCTTTCCTTTCCTTTCCTTTTTTCTTTTTGCTGGTCATGGGGCTTGAAGTCAGGACCTAGGTGCTGTCCCTGAGCCGCTCTGTGCTCAAGGCTAGCGCTCTACCACTTGAGCCATTGCTCCACTTCTGGCTTTTTCTCTGTACTTTATTAGAGATAAGAGTCTCATAGACTTTCTTGCTCCAGCTGGCATCAAACCATGAACCTAAGATCTCAGCCTTCAGAGTAGCTAGGATCCCAGGCGTGAGCCACCGGCACCCGGCTAGCCAGTGAGTTTCCCCTGCTGTGCTCAGTTTGGCTCGAGGTTCTCTTACAATGGTTGATTTCAGGCCAGGTGTGGTGATTCATGCCTGTAATCCCAGCACGTGGAGGTAAAAGCAGGAGAACCTGGACTTGGAGGTCAGCCTGGGCTATGTAGCAAGACCTTGTCTCAACACAAAGAAAAAAAGAAACAAACAAAAGTCCCAGAGATTATGAATAGACGGGAAGGCCAGGTACTGTCTCTGAACCTCTATGGGAGAGAGTAGTCAGTGAAGACCACAGCGAGGGCAGCGCTTTGGACGTTATGAGCAGAAGAGAGTGGGAGCCCGGCAGGGCTACTAGGCAGAGGGCACCCTGCAGTGTTGGGACAGAGGACACACTGCAGTGTCAGGACAGAGGGCAGAGGGCACACTGCAGTGTCAGGACAGAGGGCAGAGGGCACCCTGCAGTGTTGGGACAGAGGACACACTGCAGTGTCAGGACAGAGGGCAGAGGGCACCCTGCAGTGTTGGGACAGAGGACACACTGCAGTGTCAGAACAGAGGGCAGAGGGCACCCTGCAGTGTCGGGACAGAGGGCACCCTACAGTGTCGGAACAGAGGGCAGAGGGCACACTGCAGTGTCGGGACAGAGGGCAGAGGACACACTGCAGTGTCGGGACAGAGGGCAGAGGCCACACTGCAGTGTCAGGACAGAGGGCAGAGGACACACTGCAGTGTCAGGACAGAGGGACAGAAGACACACTGCAGTGTCAGGACAGAGGGCAGAGGGCACACTGCAGTGTCAGGACAGAGGGCACACTGCAGTGTCAGGACAGAGGGCAGAGGGCACACTGCAGTGTCAGGACAGAGGACACACTGCAGTGTCAGGACAGAGGGCAGAGGGCACACTGCAGTGTCAGGGAAGAGGACACACTGCAGTGTAAGGACAGAGGGCAGAGGACACACTGCAGTGTCAAGACAGAGGGCAGAGGACACACTGCAGTGTCAGGACAGAGGACAGAGGACACACTGCAGTGTCAGGACAGAGGACACACTGCAGTGTCAGGGCAGAGGACACACTGCAGTGTCATGACAGAGGACAGAGGACACACTGCACAGTCAGGAGAGAGGGCAGAGGACACATAGCCGTGTTAGGACAGAGGACAGAGGACACACTGTAGTGTCGGGATTGAGGGCAGAGGACACACTGCAGTGTCAGGACAGAGGACAGTGGACACACTGCAGTGTCAGGACAGAGGACACACTGCAGTGTCAGGACAGAGGACAGAGGACACACTGCAGTGTCAGGACAGAGGACAGTGGACACACTGCAGTGTCAGGACAGAGGACACACTGCAGTGTCAGGACAGAGGACAGAAGACACACTGCAGTGTCAGGACAGAGGACAGAGGACACACTGCAGTGTCAGGACAGAGGACACACTAGTGTCAGGACAGAGGACAGAGGACACACTGCAGTGTCAGGACAGAGGACAGAGGACACTGCAGTGTCAGGACAGAGGACAGAGGACACTCTGCAATGTCAGGACAGAGGACAGAGGACCACTGCAGTGTCAGGACAGAGGACACACTGCAGTGTCAGGACAGAGGACAGAGGACACACTGCAGTGTCAGGACAGAGGACAGAGGACACACTGCAGTGTCAGGACAGAGGACAGAGGACACTCTGCAGTGTCAGGACAGAGGACAGAGGACACACTGCAGTGTCAGGACAGAGGACAGAGGACACACTGCAGTGTCAGGACAGAGGACAGAGGACACACTGCAGTGTCAGGACAGAGGACACACTGCAGTGTCAG